AAAAACCAAACCAAAAAACTTAAAGGTAGAAAACGATCAACAATTCAAACACAAACTCCATAATAAAGAGCAAAAGCCAAGATAGTAACAAGTCTATAATGTCAATACAAATGGAAAACAGACTATTAGTAAAGACACAGTAGATTCTGAACAAAAATATCCTCAATTTTTAAAATGGCTATTTCAGTGCTTGGTTTGGCACAAAACACACATATACTAAAACTGCAAAGATACAGAGAAGATTAGCATCATTTAGTGCAAGAGTGACAAGCAGATTTGTGAAGCAGCTCATATTTTTAGATTTCTGAGCAAAGATGTTCTCCTGCCATCCTGGGGCCTCCATTCTCCCAAGAAAGACAAAGGTGTAAGGCTTATAAGAAAGAAGAGGGTATTTCAGGATTTCTAAAATAAGTATTAAGGAAAAGTATTTAAATATTAGATGAAATATAATCTTCCAGAGACTTCAATTCTTATAAAAACCAGAAAGGAATGGTATATAGAAAACTGGTACATATTGAGTCAGTAGACTGCTTTTGATAGTTTAGCCATTTTTACAATAATGATTCTGCTAAGCCAGGACCATGGAACTGGGAAGTCTTTTTGTCATCTAGTATCTTCCTTTTTATTTTTATTTTATGTGTCTTTTGTTTATATGGTTGTAAATGCACTGAATGCCCTCAGAGGACAGAAGGGCATTGGATCCCCTGAAACTGGAGTTACTGATGGGTTATTAGCTGCCGTGTGGGTACTAGAAACTGAACCTGGGTCCTCTGGAAGTATAGACAGTTTTTTTTTGGGGGGGGGGGTCTTTTTGAGGTAGGGTCTCCTTGTAGCCCCAGCTGGCCTGGAACTATGTAGACCAGGCTAGCCTTGAACTCACAGAGATCTGCCTGCCTTTGCCTCGGGAGTGCTAGAATTAAAGGTGTGTACCACCATGCCTGGTCAGACAGTACTTTTAACCACTGAGTCATCTCTTTAGTTGCTAGTGTCTTTTTTCAGTGTCTTAAAGTTTTCACTGTAGAGGTCTTTTACCTCCTTGGTTAGGATTATTCATAGGTTTTATTTTTGAGGCTATTGTGAATAACAAAGTTTTACTGATTTCTTTCTCAGCAAGTCTGTTGTTGATATATATAAAAGCTACTGGTTTTTCTAGGTTGATTTTGTATCCTGATATTTTAGTGGAAGAATTTATCAGATCAGTTCAAGAAACTTAAGCTTAGAGATGCTATTAGCTGCCTAAGGTCACACAGTCCCAAAGTAGTGAGCTGGTATTTTATAACCTTCTCTTGCAAGGTCAAGTTTCCAACCTCTAATTTCTGTGACATGCTATCTCTAACTAAGGATTTTCGGTATTAGTTAAAAAAAAAAATCAACATACCTAAGAAAGAAATACACAGTCAGAGGTACATCTAATTCCATTTTAAATTTACATCTCTCTCATTACAAAAGATAATGTGAAGCTATAGAGATAGAAACAAACATGTTGGTAGGTGTCTAAGAACAGGTTATTGTAAGGTCATTTACAGTTGATAGAGATAAGTCACTTATTTGCCTCTGAATGATATAGTAGCCTGAGGAAAGAATTTTATTGAATGATGTCTCTCTTGGTGCTGAAAATAAAAAAAAATCCTTTATGGGGACACATAGTTGATGCGCTCACCATTATACAACATACACTGACAATTTTAGAATGAACCTTTGTTTTTTATTTATTAATAATATGTATTTATGTGCGTCTGTGCTGTGGAAGTTAGAGGACATCTTTCGTGAGTTGTTCACTCTTTCTACCATGTGGGTCCTGGGATCAAACTCAGGTTATTAGGCTTGGCAGAAAGTACTTTTACTTGCTGAGCCAGCCATCTAGCATCTGCAGAACGAACCTTTCTTACAAGAAAATTCTTATAAATATCTTGATGTAGTCCAAAGCAGAGTGTCACATTCTTGGATGGAAAAGACAACTTCATCTACAGTATTATGTAGGCTTAGTGCAAAACTGTAGAGATCTGGATTGGGCTGAGCATAAAATACAGAATAAAAGGCAAAATAGACTGAACACCCTTCAGGTGTATTTCTGACAATCAACCTTGTGAATTTAACAGCTGAGAGTTCATTATGACAAAATCCTGGAGTATAGAAATTCCACATTATTTCAATAGTCAGATTCATGTTGCAGAGGGTAGAATTCTTAACTTTGGGGTTAGAGAGATGGCTCAGCAGTTAAAAGCACTGGCTGCTCTTGCAGAGGACCTGGATTTGATTGCCAGCACCCACATGGCAGCTAACAATCTAGTTCTAGAGGAATTCGATGCCCTCTTCTGACTTCCACAGGTATTGCATAACACGGGTACACTTACACACATGCAGGGAATACACTCATACACATAAAATAAAAATAATAGATGTGCTGGATAGCTTTAGTTGTCAACTTGACACACCTGGGTAGAGGGGGCTTTGATGGGGAATTGCCTCCATTGAACTAGCCTGTGACCATGTCTGAGAGGCATTTTTTTTTTTTTTTGATTGCTGAGTGATATGGGAGGGCCCAGCTCACTATGGGCAGTGGCACCCCTGAGCAAGTTGTTTTCTATTATATAATAATGCAGGCTGAGCATGAGTCAGGGGACCAAGTCAGTAAGCAGTGTTCTTCCATGGCATGTACTCCAGCTCCTGCCTCCAGGTTCCTGCCCTGAGTTCCTACCTTGGGCTCCCTGATGAACTGTGACCCAGGAGTTATAAGGTAAAATCAACACTTTCCTCCCCAAGTTGGCAGTGTTTTTCTATTTTTTATTTATTTTTATGTATATGTGTATATTGCCTACATGCAGGTTAGTACACCCGTGTTGTCAATGCCTGCAGAGGACAGAGAGGCTGTCAGATCCCCTGGAACTGGAGTTACGGACAGTTGTTAGCTGCCATGTGGGTGCTGGGATTCGAACCTGGGTTTTCTGCAAGAACAGCCAGTCTTCTTAACCACTGAGTCATTTCTCCAGCTACTGGTTGGTGTTTTTAATCAAGCAACTGAAAGTAACTAGAACAATAAATATTTTTAAAAACCTCAACTTTGGTCAGGCATGGTGGCACACGTCTTTAATCCCAACACCCGGGAGGCAGAGGCAGGCGGATCTCTGTGAGTTCAAGGCCAGCCTGGTCTACATAGTGAGTTCCAGGACAGCTGGGGCTACAGGGAGACCCTGTCTCAAAAAGACCAAAAAAAAAAAAAAAAAAAACCCAAAAAACCCTCAACTTCATATAGAAGGGGACCCAAAGATGACAGATGTCTGATTTTCAGATTTTGTTCCATGGTGAGCTGATAAGAGATGTTTAATTCACACTGATGTGAATTTAAAAAGTATGTGATATTTGAGACATGGCTGAAATCCAAACATAAATTTTCCTTGTTTTTGTTAAATAAGGGGTGTTGCTACAACATAATAAGATTATGGAAAACTGCCAAAACTGTTTGTAAGAAAAACATTCTGCTCTACCTATATTAGTTTATAAAAGAACGAAGTATTTATACAAGTATACAGATACAGCACAAGGTAACAACCTTAAATGTAAAAGAAAGTAAAATAAATGAAAGCACAGAAGTAAACTATTCAAATTCTCAACAATTACTATTTTAAAAGCAGCTAAAAGTCCTCTTTGAAAAGGAAAATCAAATAACAGTACTGGTATAGTTGCTTAAAATACAAACTAAATAATAAAAAAAAGAACACAAAAGACTTACATGCTTTGCAAGTGGAGTTCCAGATGTAATTACTAAGATTCTTATTCTATTCTTTATTATTTTTTACATATAAAACGTTTTAAATAAAATATCTTCATTTTTATGTTTTTAATATCTTTTACTTTTTATATAACCATGAAACATAGTAACATTAACAAATAAATTTTTTATCTGTTGTGACAATCTTTTTCCCCTCCCCCCCGGGGATACTAAGCAATGTTTATCACCTTTTTAGGTGGTAGTATCAAACCAATGTTTGATTTCATTAAAGTTTATCTGGGGAACCAACGAATTTACTGAGCTTACTTACAGAGATGACTGAGGGGTTATTGATGTGTACAGGTGACCTGAGAGTATGTACACTGGAAAGCTTTTACGAAGCATGGATCAAGTCTTCTTTCTAGCCTTCCCCAGATTATATATTTTAGTCCTCCCCAAACCCAGAAGACCATATGTGGTTAGGGCCAAATTACATACAGTTGTCTGGGAAGAGCAGCTGGATACTCAGGTGAGGGTCTAATGACCCTGTTTACCCCTCCTCCTTTAATTAAAGAATATGATACTTAAGTCAACAAGTCCAATTATGATGATCTTTTGCTAGTGGACACAGCTGAAGTCATGAAGATGGTAGTTTTTGACTCAGAAAAAAGTAGTGTGTAGCATCATCTTATTAAAAGAACACGGAATCTAAATTACATACATAAGATAATGTAATAAGTTAATATTACCCATGTACACACTGTGCTTTATAAGTTACCAGATAAACCTTATAGAAGATATAAAACAGTTAAAAATCTTTTTTACTTATGTAGTTTAGAGAGTAATATGTAGTTTAGAAAGAAGCAACTGGTACCTAGTTAAACATTATCAAATTGATGTTCACAACCTCCAGCACAATCAGTTTAACAAAACTGCCATGCTTTAGTTACTGACTGAGGAATTCTAGGCAGAAGATCCTCTCTGTCCATCAACTGTGAATTGTCCTCTTTTTTTAATACTTTAAAAAATTTTTAATAACTACATGATTAGAAGCTTTTCACTACAGCTTTAACATATTCAGTAACACACTCCAGAGCAACAGTACATCTCTTCCACAAGTAGATCAGAGATCTGCCTGTCTCTGCCTCCCAAGTGCTGGGACTACATATAAGCCCTGTAAGACATAAAATTGAATGAGTTTTTAACCTTTAAAAAAGATCCCCATTTATTGTTAGAATATATTGTTCCTTGCAGAGAGATTCATTGTTTTTGCTACTAACACTGAGATGTTGGCGCTTGCATCTCTAATCTCTATGTATCTGTCATAAGTGGCACTTGGATCCTTGGTGCCTGGGTATGTCTATAAAGTCATTGGGCAGATTTCAGTGGTATTGTTTATCACCTCTACTAATTAGCATGATGTAAATTTCCAAGCTTCCTCCTCAAATAAAATACATTTTTAAAAAATCTGTTGATTTGTGTGTATGTGTATCACACAGAACATCCCAAACCATCTCCTTTGACTATACACCCACTTCCCAGATGGCACCCTCCCATAGCCTCCCTCCCCCCACTAAAGCCCTTATACT